TTTCGAATAAAAGTTCGAAATATTCTGGGAGAGTTGCAATAAATTATACAAAAGTTTGTTTGTATGTTGCAACGGTTGCGTGAGCTGTGGGAGCGGATTGTGAAATGTTTAATGAGAGTTTTTCTGAAACTATATAACCATATATGTAACTATATAAAAGATATAATGCCTAATTAGTAAATTTTTTAATATAGAGTGTATAAGTTCGGATGTAACCGAACATTTTATACTCTACAGAAATACAATTTAATGTCTCTGGCGTGTTTAGTGCTTGATTTATCGCGCTTTTAGTAGTTTTTAACAGTACCGTTATATGGGGAGTGGGCGGAGTTGCCACCCGATTTCAACTATTTTCACACTGTAAGTAGAGGTTCTAAAAAAATTTACTTCCAGTGAATTTTGTTATTATAGCATTAGCGGTTTAGGAGATATGCACATTAAACCTATTAGAGGCGGGACCACGCCCACTTTAAAAAAAAAGTTTGAACTGCAGATGCCCCTCCCTAATGTGATCCTGTGTACTAAATAACAGTCTTGTATCTTATTGCGGAGCTTAGTTATGGCATATTATTTGTTTTTGATTAATGGCGTTTTTTGGGCGTGGCAGTAGTCCGATTACGCCCATCTGCAATACCAACCGTCTCACGGTACCAAGAAACATGTCTACCAAGTTTCATGAAGATATCTCAATTTTTATATTATACTCTGTAGCAACAGGTTGTGAGGGTATAAAAATATAAGTAATAGCGAGGATTACCGTACTACTATCACGACACAATAACCTCTGTGATCTGTCAATTTTCAGATTGTTAGTGTTCCAGAGTTAAAGTCTTCAACCAAACTGATAAGAAACATTGATTTTTGCACTTGAAATTAGGGGGGTACTGGTTGAAGTAATAACTCATCACCCAAATTTGAGAGATAAACTCCAGCATACTTAGTTAGCCGAACCCAGTAGCTGAAAATCGGCAGGTATAAATAGAAAAGGCGATTTACGATCAGGGATCAAACTGGATATATATAATTTATTTATTTTAATTTTATAATTTAAGGCTTGGCTTTTTAGAAGTTGTCTCTCAAAAGCGATGTATGCAATAAGAAAGTACCGGAATGATCCTATCTCGNACTTTGCGAGAGTATAAAATGTTCGGTTACATCCGAACTTAGCTCTTCCTTACTTGTTTATATTAATAATTTGTTATTAAATATTTCAATTTTTATTATTTAATCTTTTTAATATAATATTATTCTATTAATTTTTATTAATTTTTAGTAAATATGGAGTCTAATGTGTATTTTAATAAAAATAACTGAATAAAAATAGTTCCAAATAGAAATAGAATAAAAATTATTTGCTTATAAAAAATGGATCGAACAATATCAACTTATTTCCCTTTGGAAAGCTGAGAAAAAAGCTGGTTAATAATTTTTGTATTGACTTACTTTTCTTCGCATACACAAATGTTTAAAAGTATTTTTATCCAGCGTTGAAATTTTGAAATTTCATAACTCCAAAGTTTTTTATATTGTGTCATAATAAGAAAAATACGTGTTCAATATTTTGGCACTACGAAAACAAAAAACACGTTTTGCACAACATTTCTTTGTGTCCATTTTGAATGGAATGATCTATATATATTATTACATTATCTCATTTAGTATAATTTCATGGTTTTAATTTATTCTTTTAATTTTTTTAATTATTTATATATGTTTACATATATATTTTTTTATACTCTCGCAACCTATTGCTACAGAGTATAATAGTTTTGTTCACCTAACGGTTGTTTGTATCACCAAAAACTAATCGAGTTAGATATAGGGTTATATATATATAAATGATTAGGATGAAGAGACGAGTTGAAATCCGGGTGACTGTCTGTCCGTCCGTCCGTGCAAGCTGTAACTTGAGTAAAAATTGAGATATCTTTATGAAACTTGGTAGACATGTTTCTTGGTACTGTGAAACGGTTGGTATTGCAGATGGGCGTAATCGGACCACTGCCACGCCAGAAAACGCCATTAATCAAAAACAAATAAATTTCCATAACCAAGCTCCGCAATAAAATACAATACTGTTATTTGGTACACAGGATCACATTAAGGAGGGGCATCTTTAGTTAAAATTTTTTTTTTATAGTGGGCGTGGTCCCGCCTCTAATAGGTTTAATGTGCATATCTCCTAAACCGCTAATGCTATAATAACAAAATTCACTGAAAGCAAATGTTTTTAGCACTTCTATTGACGGTGTGAAAATAGTTGAAATCGGGGGGCAACTCCGCCCACTCCCCATATAACGGTACTGTTAAAAACTACTAAAAGCGCGATAAATCAAGCACTAAACACGCCAGAGACATTAAATTTTATCTCTGGGATGGTATGAGATGACTTTATAGGAACCGCGTTCAAAATTAGACAGTGGGCGTGGCACAGCCCACTTTTATGTGAAAACCCATATCTTGAGATCTGCTTAACCGATTTCAACCAAATTCGGTGCGTAACGTTCTTTTCATGTTTCTATGTCATAGTGCGAAAATGGGCGAAATCGGACTACAACTACGCCTATTTCCCATATAACACCATTTTCAATTCCATCTGATTCTTTCACTTTCCACTATGCATATCAAGCAACAATGATTATATCGGGGTAAAACTTTGCGTGAATAATACGTTTAAAGTATGCCACCTTGTGACCAAAAATTGTCTAAATCGAACCAAAACTGTTCAAACCCCTAAGTACTAAATATGTGGACCCCAGTGCCTATAGTTGACCTTCTACCGAAAATATCAGTCAATCCACAAAGAAATTTCAAACGAGTATACCATTTGACTTTGCGAGAGTATAAAATGTTCGGTTACATCCGAACTTAGCCCTTCCTTACTTGTTTATATATATATAACCCTATATCTAACTCGATTAGTTTTAGGTGATACAAACAACCGTTAGGTGAACAAAACTATTATACTCTGTAGCAACAGGTTGCGAGAGTATAAAAAAAAAATATTTATCAGTCGATTAGACGGAAATTAAGCTCGAAAAGAAAGAAGGGGTATATGTACAAAAGTAAAACAGATGAAATAATATAAAAAACTTGTGGAAAAGTCAATTAATTTGTAATTAGTTATTTTGAATTTTTAATACTTTAAAATAAGACCGACGTTTTAGGTTAGACCGAAAATTTCAGAGCGATATCTCAACAACTGAGGGACTAGCACGCGTATATACAGACAGACGGGCATGGCTAATCCACTTATCTCGTCATGCTGATCATTTCTATACTTGTATATATATACATATATAAGTTCAAAGAATAACGGTAAAATTATTCTAAAACATTTATGAGAATTTGGCAAACAAAACTGTGCACCAATTATGTTATACCAGATTCTTAAAAAACAAAATATAAAAAGGCAACCGAAACCAATAAACAAAGTATTTAAATATATAAATTATTAAAACTAAAAAATCTTTTACAAGTTTAACAGCCATTAAAAATTAAAACATAAAATAAAACAGCTTTAGATTTTACATTTTTATTGTAAGCAACAAAATATACGACATTTGATAACTTGCTGCTAGAACCCAAATTGCCACGCGCTTTTTTTAATTTACGAACATTTCAGCAGAATATTACGGGCTGAAGCTGAATATGCACGAATTCAAATTCCGACAACAAACAATCCGAATATATAAGTATGATGATGAAATTTCAGAAGAGCAGCGGTGACAATATAACTCTGAATCGGTCGTATTCAAGTATAAGTTTGAGAAGTTCCTCCATTGATTTCTAAACTCCACTGTTTGTCTTAAAACTTAGCTTCGGACATTAGTTCACAAAAAGTTGAACTCCAAAAAGGAACAAATAAAAACAAAAGAAAAAGTTCATCAAATGTAACTAGTTAAGGCCCAAGCTATCGCTATTAACTGCACGCACGCAAGTGGCGAAACATTTTGAAACACTCCAAAAACTTTGCGTTAATGCGTTCAAAACTAAACATAACAACAAGTCCGTGAAACACTACGCACGCTGACCGTTAGCTTCCATTTAAACACATTTTATTATACATAATTTCTTCCTATCACGCACAACTCTAATGAAATTGTCGGTCTAACCTAAAACGAACCTCTTTTAGTATTCTTTTTTTACATTTCTTAAAAACAAATTTATTTGAATAATTTTCGTTAACAAGTTGAGATGATCACAATTTCACAGGTGTTTGGGCAGACAGCACTTAAGCGGTTTAAGTAGACGTTGCGGCGCCTTGGGAGGTATTTTGAATGACAGTTAACCCTACTAACGACTATAGGCAAACGCTAATGCATTTAATGAGCACTTATTAAGTGCTGATTACAGTTATTTGCCAAGGTCGTGAGGAAATTGAGTCATTACTTATTTACTGACTGCAATTTGCAAACGATTTTTGGTGAATTTGTTGGGAGATTATATTTTAATTCTACAATATTTGTGGCTTTTAAAGATCTATCAATAGTAATTTTAAGCTTTGAAATGTGCACAGAAGATACAGTCATACATAATTAATTAAAATTATTGAAATTTAATAAAGACATTCACAAAGTAACGCGGTAGTTAAAAATTTGTGGAAATTTAAAATAGACAGCCACAAAATATTTCAACAAGCTTGATAACAAAAGTATTATTTTGCAGAATTGCCACCTGTGTTTAAATATAAATTATTTGTAAGTAAATATTAAGAGGAATATTAAAATTTTAAAATTTTTTTAAGGCTTTGAGTTTAAGTATGATTTGGAACAAGATCCAGTATGATTTGGAACAACTCCAAAATGTACTTTTAATATAGAGCTTTAAACTTTATCAAGTTATCACCTTTTTTAAAATATAACCAGCTTGTAAATAAATAATAGGTCCAATATTGGTAATAAGGTGTGGATACAAAACTCTCAAAACTGAACTAGACACTCCGTACGAAAAGTTCACACTAAGTAATTTAAATTTTTTAATTTATTCTTCCAGCACTCAACCACAGAATACAGCGTGTCAGGCGATGAAGGATCGCCGCTGCTGTTGGACGCGTGGTAAAGTCATTGGCGGCAGTTCCGTACTCAATACTATGCTCTACATACGTGGAAATCGGCGCGATTTCGATCAGTGGGCATCGTTTGGCAATCCCGGTTGGGGCTACGAAGATATACTACCCTACTTCCGTAAATCGGAAGATCAACGTAATCCTTACTTGGCGCGCAATAAACGTTACCATGGCACAGGTATATCAAAACAATAAAATGTATTATATCAGAGGTTAAATTACTACTCATTCTTTCACCTTCAAGGTGGTCTCTGGACTGTGCAAGACTCACCTTACAACACGCCATTAGGGCCGGCTTTCCTACAGGCTGGCGAGGAAATGGGCTATGATATTGTAGACGTGAATGGCGAGCAGCAAACGGGTTTCGCTTTCTATCAGTTCAACATGCGACGCGGTTCACGTGCCTCCGCCTCTAAGAGTTTCCTACGTCCTGCGCGTTTGCGCAAGAACCTTGATGTGGCGATGTTTGCCCACGTTACGAAGGTGCTGACGCACCCAGAAACCAAACGTGCAATTGGCGTGCAGTTCATACGCGATGGGAGCCTACAAACAGTCTATGCCACACGCGAGGTTATACTCTCGGCTGGCGCGCTAAGCTCACCACATTTAATGATGCTCTCGGGTATCGGGCCAGCAGATGAGCTACAACGCGTGGGCATACCACTAGTACAGCATCTACCCGGTGTAGGTCAGAATTTGCAGGATCACATAGCTGTCGGCGGCATTGCATTCCTCATCGACTACCCGATTTCGATTGTGATGAAGCGTATGGTTAACATTAATACTGCCTTGCGTTACGCCATCACTGAGGACGGACCACTCACATCTAGCGTGGGTTTGGAGGCAGTAGCTTTCATTAACACCAAATATGCCAATGCTAGTGACGACTGGCCAGACATAAGCTTTATGATGACCTCAGCATCGGTTATGTCTGATGGCGGTTCGCAGGTAAAAACTGCACATGGTTTATCAGACGAATTCTACCAAGAGGTCTATAGCGAAGTGAACGACCGCGATGTTTTCGGTATCTTTCCCATGATGTTGCGGCCCAAAAGTCGCGGTTTTATCAAACTCGCATCCAAAAATCCGCTTCGCTACCCTCTACTCTATCACAACTACCTCACACATCCAGACGATGTGAATGTGCTGCGCGAAGGCGTCAAAACCGCTATAGCCGTGGGCGAAACCCAGGCTCTGAAACGTTTCGGCGCACGCTTCTGGAGCAAACCCTTGCCGAACTGCAAGCACCTGCCGCAATTCACCGACGAATATTGGGACTGCGCCATACGCCAATACACTATGACTATCTACCATATGTCAGGCACCGCGAAAATGGGTCCACCCAGCGATCCGTGGGCGGTGGTTGATCCACAATTGCGCGTGTATGGGGTGCCAGGACTGCGTGTAATTGATGCCAGCATTATGCCAACCATTACTAACGGTAACATACATGCGCCGGTGATTATGATCGCCGAGAAAGGGGCAGATATGATTAAGGAGCTGTGGCTTAGCAGCACGCAGTGGCGTACGAAGCGTACGCGATCGTATTTGGAGCCTATTTGTAACGTAACGGAGGCTACGGAAAATACGTTAACGCAAAACAAAGACGAAACTACGTGCTCCTAGCAGATTAGCTTTTGTACATGAGAATTAAATGTGCAGAGAGGGGAAGAGAGGATTTGACCTCAGCTACTTTTAAATCATACAAATCTCTCGAAATACCTCTCGCCGTCATATTACACTTCAAACAATTAGTTGTTAAATGTTACTTTTAATTAATTTTAATTAATATAATTTATATTTATGGTATAGAGTACAATTATATTTTTAAAATAATTTTTAGTGGCCACTTCTTTCAGCTTCATCGCAATCCTGCAAGTCTTAAAGTATAATTGCTAGTTAATTTATATGTTTTAACAGTTTTTTATTATGCCACAGGACTTTACAAAGATTATCTCATAAGCCATGTTTTGCATTGTACATATCGAGTCACGGTTCCGCTAGTTTTAGGTAACTATTAAATTTTGTTTTTAAAATTGAAGATTTGTTATTTAATAAATAAATAAATATATATTGTAAATAAAAAAATTGTCCAACTTTGCTTGGTTCTGGGCGAATAAAGAAGTCATTTAGGTATGAAAAAGAAGACAAAAGCAAGAAAAAACGTTAACTTCGGTTGCGATTGTTACAATGCCATGAAAAATATGTATTCCAAATTGTTTGAAGATACCTAGACAAAAAAAGGATTTTTCATACAAGGAGTTGAGTTTGATTGGTCAGTTCTATGCCAGCTATATGCTATAGTCGTCCAATATCGGCGGTTCTGACAAATGAGCAGTGTGTTGGGAAGAAAACAATGTGTGCAAAATTTCACAGAGGTATCTCAAAAACTAAGCGATAGGCCCTCACGTATACATACGGACACATGCACCTGACAAAATCGACTCAGCTCTAAACTCAACTCAGTTTTCCAAAACATTTTTTTAAATTATTTATTTTATGTTTGGGATTCAATATATTTTTCCATCCGGTATTTGGCATTAAAAATTAAAAATAAATTTTTAATGCGGTTTGTGGGATAATTTGTGGGGAATTGTTTTTTATTTTTCAATACCGTATTTTGGTTAGCAAAATAAAAAAATACAAGAAAAAACGTTAGCTTCGGATGCACAGAAGCTATAATACCCTTCACATATACAAAAGGTTCCTTAGAAGAACTTGATTCCGATCATCCAGTTTGCATGACATCGATCTGAACCATTTCTTCGGACATTCATTATTACCTTAGATAATGATCCGTTCCAAATTTCGTAAGATATATAGATATATCGTCAAATGAAAAACTTTTCCATGCAAGTACTAGATTCCGATCGTTCAGTCTGTATGGCAGCTATATGCTATAGTGATCAGATCAGAAAAATTCCTTAAAAGATTCCATTATTGCTTTGGATAATGATCCGTTCCAAATTTCGTAAGATATAAGATATATCGTCAAATGAAAAAGTTTTCTATGCAGGCACTTGATTCAGAGCGTTCAGTTTGTATGGGAGCTGTATGCTATAGTCGTCCGATGTCAGCCATTCCGACAAATGGGCAGCTTCTTGGTAAGAAAAGGATAGGTGCAAAGTTTCAGCGTAAAACTGAGGGACTAGTTTGCATATACACAGACGGATAGACGAACATAGCTAAATCAACTCAGCTCATCATGCTAATGATTTATATATGTATATATTTTATAGGCTATCCGACGTTTCGTTCTGGGTGTTACAAACTTCATGGCAAATATATTTATTCAATTATATTTTTAATACAATTTATATAATTTTATTTTTCATTCGATTCTCCTTTTGTCACGTGCCACTGTTAAAATTTTTCATTCCGAGCTAGCTGTGATCAGAGAATGTTGAAGAAGAGAAGAGTCTCTGCCAGAGAATGTTGATGAGTAGAGAAGGAGCAAATGTTAGCAGTACTAAAATGTTAATTGCTAAGAAGGAACATCGAAAACGCGCAAGTTCGAAAATAAAATGTCACCACACCTGTCAATTTACGCAACGAACTACACCACTCTATAAGCAAAATGTATATACATACATATGCAGAGATGTTCATTGGTATGCGCATAAACAAAAATTGAAATAATAAAAACGAAAGTAATTGACCTCCGACAAGAAAATATAAATAATGAGGGAAGAGAGAGATCAAATCTTCATTTCTGATTTTTAGCAAATGTTGTGAGGAAGCAGTTGTGGGCAACATACAAATGCGAGGGGATGGAGGATTTTCAGTGATAACAAATTGTAAATTGAAATTTTGCTGTTCTTCAATTTTACTGAAGACAAATTCAATTTCATTCATTTTTATTTCGCGCATTTGCGGTAGGAATTCTATATGAAAACCAAATGTGGTTTACCAGGCGCACAGAAAAAATAGGCGCGGCGCAGAGTTATGAACGAACGCACTTTGCTTTGAAGCAGCGCACGTCCTTATGATGAATTTGTTGTCGTTGTAATATAAATTACTTAGAAAATATGCCGCGAGTTCGCTTGAATATTATTGGCCGATGATGGTGGCGTCTACGTTTTTGTCACTTGCGCGAGTGTTAGATTTTTTGCGAAAGACATATTGATGGACACATATGTACATATATGCCAATATTTTGGACATGCAGAATGAACGAAGGCAATTTCAAGAATATTCACATATAGACATATAAACATTGAAGCAAGTAAACAACAATAGCTGTTTGAGTTCACAGATTAGACAAATATGTTTTAATATCATCTGTGGTGCTGCTTGTATAGCACACTTCCTTATTGCAATGAAATGTTTTGCCTAAGTTCAAATCCTATCATATTTTTATATATTATACTATTTTTATTTTATAACTCTTTTTATTAATGATATTGAATTCTATTTAGTATATTA